GGTATTTTGTAGTTATCATTATGGATAACATGAACGTGTGCAATTTGATCGAATTACAGGAGAAAGAACTTATTGAAGATAATCGATTTCTAACCGATCTAATCAAACATTTCAGATTGATACTGTAGAATTCCACTATGTTTTCATGTGAATAAAAAACGTTCAGGAACCTTTATACATAATAATTCTAGATTCAGATTTATTGAGTGTGATACCATTACCCAAACAATCAGTGGTATTCAAGAATATACTTTGAATTCATAAGATTTCAGCCCAATTGAACCAAATGGGGTATTCAGAATCTTTTCCTTCAACGTTACTTGCGTGTTCAGACCTAACCGAAGTGATGTGAGATGAAGATATAGAAACGAAGATTCAAGACATTTACAATTTATATCGACCGATCGGATTATCAAATAACTTGAGTTATACAACTCCCCGACTAATGCATATCGACAAGTTCTTTCAATGCCCTTCCAATGTATTCACTCCTTAACACTAACAATTCTTGTCCATTGATCACCTTCAGAATCATCACCGAATACGTCTTAAGGAGACGAACATATATTATAAAGGTATTTATTTCCTTTCCATGTTTCAACTATATCAGAAAATACGAACATACTTAATTCATGGTTCATGATCCATAAGGACAATTCTTCATGTAAATTCAACAGTGTTTCTAGACTCATCCAATCACCTATTTAATCCTCGGCCTTTGAGGTTACTTAGTTCGTTTAGCAATCAAGTCTATCTCAGTTACTTTATAATTTTCCAGATTAATTTAGACGTTTCTGAATTTCAGATACATATTGTATTTCCTTTCAGTTCAATTTAGTCATATAGTAGAGTCATTATGGTATTCGTGGTTGATCTGTCTCACGAATATCCACTTCTTAGTACTGAATGCGTTCTAGAGTTGATCTGAGCCAAGTACTTCTAGAATTATCATCTATCCAAACTTGAGAAGACGAACACGCATTCAAGTGATATCTATGCCATTCAGGTATATACATAGCATTAGAGTTGACCTACTTACTTAAGTTGTGTTCTATAACTTTTAGGGGTAGTACAATACCTATGTTTATTTGAATTTCTTATTTAATCCAAAACATTTACTTAGTCTAGTCCATAAGGGCATTTTGGTGCTCAAAATTTTTCTATTCATTTCAAAGCTTGAGTATATCCATATATTCCTAAGTTTGGTGACATTCTTGAGTCATTTTCATTATAGGTGTATTTTGGTCACTTTACAGATCCAATATATTTCAATCATTTCCTTTCGTCCGATCTTATTATTTAATTTAATCTTATCACTTATTTCAGTCCTTTCAAACAATTCTGACCAAAGAGCATCTTCGATAAATCATTCTCCAGGTATTTACTCAATTCAGTAATTTCCAGGTTAAATGTCTTTTCAAATGTTACTAATGAATTTTCATAAATTTTCCATACAAAGGTAGGATCTCATCAATCAAATCATTAATTTATCGATTTAAAAACAAATTCTCAGGTTACTCTCTCATTCAGAGTCAACTTGGACTATTTTCACCTCTCAAGGGTATTTTTGTAATTTCGCACCCATATATTTTGGTATTAACTCTTAACGAAAATAAATATAGTTTAGAGATCATATGCTTAATTGCTTACCCGAACATTCTTGGATCTTGAAATAATTCCTTAACAAACTTCTAATATCTTACATAAATCCTTTTGGGGTTAAAAACCGATTATCCAAATTTTCCAACATAACTAGCATTTCTTATGCACATTTGTAGTTTTATCATATCAATATGTCTTTTCAGAATTTTTAATCAACTTCCAGAGATAATTCTTGTCATTCTACAACATAGGCATATTTTCATAATTTTACCTAATCGAAGTATTCTCATAATCTATCATCTAAGTACTTTTAAATAGATAAATTATAATTCACATTTTCAGAACTGATTTCTTTATCACTCAATCACTAAACTTGTAATTCAATAGAGTCTGAATTAATTTATCATTTATACCGTATTCGATTCGAATCTATCCATAATCAAACCGACATAATAGACCAATCATATATATGTCCATGCATTTATCCATTATTAATATGTTACATAAAACATAAAGAGATAGTAATGTATTATCTCGATTTTTCGTGCCATACTGATCAATCATAAAAAATTCCATTCGAAAGCCCTCGATCTTTAATTTAACTTTCAATAATTCCTCAAATACATAATAATAATAAACATTTCATAAAAAACAGGGCTTAATTCCGAAAAATGGATCAAATCGGGTGATTAATCAGTGAAAACTAACTTACCGGGTTCGAATTTGGTGAAACGGACCCCAAAAACGGATTCAAGATATCAAAAAACGTCATAATAGGTATATCTGGTCAAAGTCAAAGGTCGTTTAATGCCCGGTCAACGTCGGTCAAAGTTCTGGTCAACGTCTGTCAATGATCAACAGTCGTCCATTTTACATAAATATCACCATAACAGAAATTAATTATAAAATTATCCACCTTATACAAATATTTACAAAACTAACACCCGTGTTTTTACACAAATAACACCCAAACAAAAATTAATTACAAAATTAACACCCTGCGGCCATACGTGCCCACTCTCGGGGGTGCATGTGAACAGTGATATGGTGTCGTAAAATTCCCGAAAAAAATTCCTAAAAATTATTTTAAGTGATTTTGAGACACTTACAAAGCTCGGTTCACAATTTTGAACGGTGTAGAGCTCGATTTCAAAAGATTGAAAACTTTGATTTTCGCACCCCTCCACGCGCCGACGACGACGGAGAAACGGAGGATACCGGTAGACTCAGAACGATGCAAGGAACACGATGGTGTGGGAGGTGTCGAAAATGGATAGTTGGATCGTCATGAATCATCGAAAAACCAACTGAAATCGAGTTAATACCGATGGTACTTCCGACTGAAATTAACGACGAACGACGACAATTCACGATGAAATGTTTGAGGGATTTTGTTCATCGGTCGACAACGAACACGATGGTGGTTTCGGTTCGTCAAACGGATGTCGGACGGTGAGTAGATCAGAATTGAAAAGAGGATTGAGAGAAAGAGGAAAAATCTGGAAACTGATAGGGAGAAAGGATATTATAATTCATCACATAAAAAAATAGGTAAACCATGAGTTTAGTCACTAAACTTCATGTACTTCTTAAAATGGTCTACTAACTTTACGATTTTTTAATTTAATCCTCAATTTTCTTTCAAAATACCAATTAAATCCAATACTTTATAATTTCTAAAAATTTAGCCCCTAATTTAGGGTGTTACATGAACAACAAGCTTATGAGGAATAATAGCTTTCCAGACAGCTTTGGATTCACAACAATCACGCAAAGCGTGAAGGGTGGTTTCATGCATAATATGCAGCTTTTTTGGGGTTGACTTCATTTTGATTTTGAGTTATTATGGTGCTGACCTTTTGTTTTGATTCAGGGTCTACCTGAGTTGATTCGCGGTGCTCAGATTGATATTATGGTCGAGGTATAAGATAGGCAACGGCTTTTGATTAAATTTGGAATGGCAATTTGTTTTATTAAAGCTTTTAGGTAATTTGAATGAAATAGTTTTCATTTTGTAGGAAAATACGGGCATGAATTTGGATAAAGTAGCTTCTCGTTGGCTTACCGCACGGCTACTGAAAATGTTGAGCATTTATAAGCTGTTAGTATGGCTACCTGTGGATTCAAAAGCTATAAGAACAATTTAGTGCACAGTAAAATTAGGCAACACTTTGTAGTATTTGATAATTTGATTACATATATATATATTTGACTGATAAATGGATTTTGAAGGTTGATGTTCCAGCATCATCCCTTGCACTTCAACCCCTTGTTGAAGCTTCTTCAAGATGACAAGAGCATGGATGGGAGTTCGGTTGGTCATTGGTTTCAACTCATCAACCTTCAGCGAATGGTACTCGGACGCAGGCAAGTACGAAGCAAACTTCTTTTTGTCGTATTTATTTGGTCGGGCTTGGTTTACAGAAGCTTCGTGGAATTTTTGTGTGCTAATGTTCTGAAGACCATTTGAAGTTTTAGCATCTTTAGTGGCTATACGCGGTGCTTTGAGAAATTCTGGACACAGGAAGCATTTATGCTTTAGTACACCGAATTTCTTTCGCTGTGTTCATCGGTGATCCGTTGTATACAGGAATAAGTTTCTTTATAGAGTTGTTTACATTAATTAAAATAGCCAATAAAATGCTGTTAGTTTGCTTTGCTGGAGATCCAACAAAGATATGACGTTTTAGTTTTATTTCAGATCAAGTATGATAACAACTTTTTAATGGAGCATCAGAAGTTGGTCCAAATGGCCAGGTCAACAACTAGAATGGCTATCCTTGGGGTTATCTTCCAGTTAAATGTAAACATTTTGGTACTCTTTACTTTGGTTAAATATATTCTCCCCTTAACCTTAATGTTGTGTATTATCATTAATCAGGACCAACCCAAATTGGGATATCACCTCAGAATAAAAGGGGAGAATTTCTTTTGGCAATAGGATCTCCTTTCTGCATCCTCTCTCCTGTGCACTTTTTAATACGTAATGATGCTTCGTCATATGCAAATGTCTTTTATATTTTAATAAGTTAACATTGGTAACAACCTACTTGTTTCCCAAAATTAGTTCTCATCAGTCCAAATACTTAGATCACAGATGCTGATTCTTGTGGAACACGAAATAGAACTAATCTGTTTTGGACATTTAGCTTTTGCTATCAAACTATCAATAATTTTGTCCCTCTCGACGTGGTGTGTTATTAATTATTTTCCTTGTGTTCTTTCTGGAGTTTTACTGATGTAGCCACTTGAACCAGCATACCAGTGGGATCTGTTGCCAACTGCTATCCTCCTAAATCATCTGACAGAGCGTTGCTGATGGCTGACATTCTATGTCTCCCCGGTGAGCATATCCCCATGTTTTGTTACCTATGATTTTTTATACCATAGATTCCTAATTATGATCGACACATTTTTACCAGGAATGGAAGTTGCTCCAGTTTTTAGTGATCGCTATCAGAACACGCTAGTTGGTATTTTGACCAGACCTTTGAGGCAAAAGAACAGTGATGCCGAGATTCAGGTAACTTTCACATATTTTTCATACTCATATTCTTTAAGCTTTCTCAATGGTAATGCATCACAACAAACTGTAGCCTTGGGTAACGGCTAGTGATTCCGTGGGAAGCCATTGCAAGTGCTTGCAGTGACTTGCTGCTGAAGGAGCCACAAATTGCAGAAAAGGGGATTCATACCGACAAGGGAAACTTAAATACTGTAGAAAATGGATTATTGTCTTACAGCAATGGTTCAAATAAACTCTGCTGTTACAATCATGACCATCTTAATTCTCCTTGACCTTCACTATTACCAATTGAGAAGGCAATGACTTCTATATGTCTTATTACCATTGATGATGGTGTATGGGCAATGACTTCAATTAAAATTAAATTGATAATATATATAAAGTTTTGAGTATTAAAACTATTATATAATGTTGCATCATCATCTCCATTAATTAACGGTCAAAATTAACGATGAGTAATTAAAATCAGAATAAAAAATTAACGATGAGTAATCAAAATCAAAATAAATGAAAAAATTAGATACAATTTCATTAAAAAATAATTAAACAATCAAAACACAAATAACAAAAAAAAGTTAAATACCAAATAGGCGGTTTAAACAAGTTTGTCTGATTAAAACATCACTTCAATATATGTACTTTACTATAAAATATCAATAAATTATTATTATATCGAGATGTAATATAAAAATAATAATATAATTATTATTATATCTAATAAATTGCCAGAGTTTTTGGATCTCTTGTGTAATTAATTCTAAAATGTTGAGGGATCAAAGATTATCAATCAAAATTGTTAATAGTTGACAAACAGAGAAGGTTGATGCAATTGTACCATCCGGCACAAAACACGTAGATTATAAAGTCGACTGCGGTTAGACCGGTGATAAGGAAGTAGAACCCGTTCATATGGACGGAGTTGAGATCATTGGAGATCTATATCTATTCGGACCGCCACCTCCCATCGTGATCTCCATGACAACGTTAACCAACTTGCTGCTAACATAGTTGCGACGAGAGATGGACGCCATGCAAAGGGAACCTCTGGGGCTTTTAATGCCATCCGGAGTTTGTGCATTGAAGAACTCGAATTGACCAACGTACATGAAAACGTTGTACGCGCCAACTAAAACATATTGTCGTACTAGTCAAAATATGATTGAAAATCTTTTCTTCTTGCCGGAGGTTACAAATTTGAGGCTTTGTATCTCGGTGATACCGGCAGTGACCATCTCGACCATCTGATGATGAGTCCAATCCCCATTCTTCGAAGCTCTGTTAATCCCTTGGGATTACCTGTTTTGTCTGTCTTCAAGCCAAGAATGACGATGTGTCGGTAGACCCGAGTTCCCCCCCCCCCCCCCGAGTCCAAACGAGAACACTGCAAAAATCAAAAGGCGACGTGCTGGCAACCGGAATGTGGAAGTCTTTAATTTTGGACAGCATTACATCTCCTTGCTCCATAATAAGGGATGTCATTTGCGTGAAGATGAGAGTGTCCATTATAATACAAAGCCGGAATGTCATAATTAATTCAAAAGTTAATAGAAAAGAGTAACAAAGTCGGGAAAAATCCAAACTTAGTTTTCACTTAATTTGTATAAAATTCAATTCAATAGCAAATGGAATGTTAAATCTCTAACCCATTAATCACGGTAACAAAAATATGCTGAAAATCAAAGATCAACCGTTGCACTTTCCTTTGATGATTAATTTTCTCCAGAAAATTATTTTAAAGGGGAAATTAGGAAATATTTTGATTTGCTTGTCGGATTATTGGCTATCGTCTTGATGTTGTCAGGTTTTTAAACCCAATCTTGTTTTATATCTTTTTGATATAATTAGTTAACAAATATTATTTAGAAATAAACATTAGAAACATTATAAATTTAGGATTTATATATTAATTTGTGCGACAACCTTTTTAAAAATTACGAATTTTGCTAACGCTCAAACAAAATAAATACGGTCCAAAATTGGTTGAGAAGAGTCCAAAAGAAACAAGAGAGGTCAAACAAACGGGTCCAGAGAATTTAAAATCAGAACAAAAAGAAAAATAACTAATAATAACATTACCCCTCAACGTTTTTACAAATGTTCGCTTCGTCTCCTATTTTTTTTAAAGCATTTTTTTCACAATATTTAATTTAAAATGTGATACCTTATTTTAAGTGATGACATAATATGTGTAACACCATTCAAATTAATAACGTGACATATGTTATGTCACAGAAAATAATTATATAATATGTGTCACATTATCAATTAGACGTATAAAAAATACTACATCAATACTTTAGATTAACCATTAGTTAAAAACGGTTTCCATCATACATAGTCGTAAATAACATCACACAGACTCAACTAAAAGAAACGGTAAATTTTAGTTAAAAAGGATCTAACTGAGAGAGGCCAAGTAAATAATTCAAGTTCCATGCCTAAATTAATCATCTTTGTACAGAAATTGTTCCAAGTTACTTACCCGGTAGTTAGTTATCCTGTGTTTTTCCCTGGAAAAACATGTTTTAAGTTAATTATGTGGTTTTAACTTAATCATCTACTTTTTTTATGTATAATTGTTGGTATGGGAATTCATCTTTCAAATTCAAAACCTTCCATTTTCATTGTCCTTTGATTGCCAACATTTTCTCCCTGAAATCTCTCCTGGAATTTTTGAATCTATAGTTTCTTTCTCCATTTGATGTTCCCATATTTTATATATTATTAAATCTCACCTTCATCTCTTGCCTGCATAGATATTTTCTTTTAATACCAATCTCTAATGATGGAAGATGATTCAAGCATCGCTTCGAACACTAAATCAACTGTTTCATTATCGGAAACATCTGATTCCGGCAACAGCAACTACAAGCATCGCCCCAGCAAACGTGCCAGACATGATGATCACGTTGTGTCGTTAGCAAGGTTCAAAGGTGTCGTCCCGCAGCAGAACGGGCATTGGGGTGCACAGATATACGCCAACCATCACCGGATATGGCTTGGGACGTTCAAGTCCAAGAGAGAAGCCGCCATGGCTTACGACAGCTCCGCCATCAAGCTACGTAGCGGTGGCGGCGAAACTCATAGGAACTTCCCGTGGACCGATCTCAACATCCAAGAACTGGACTTTCAACACCTTTATTCGACCGAGGATGTACTGAACATGATCAGGGACGGTTCGTATCAAGCCAAGCTGGAAGAATTCGTCAAGATCTTGTCTAGAAATGATGGGAAATTGACCACTTATCTAAACAAGAAGCTTGTGCATGGTGATACACAGTTCTCATGCATGCAACTTTTTCAAAAGGAATTAACACCGAGCGATGTCGGAAAGCTTAACAGGCTCGTGATCCCTAAAAAATACGCCGTTAAACACTTCCCTCACATTAGTTCGGTCGGCGGTGGTGTCGAAGACATTGAACTTGTCTTCTACGACAAGTTAATGGTGAGATGGAAATTTCGTTACTGTTATTGGAGGAGTAGCCAAAGCTTTGTTTTCACTAGGGGATGGAGCCGTTTCGTGAAGGAGAAGAAACTTGGTGAGAAAGATACCTTGACATTTTACATGTGTGAGTGCCCTGGTGGGAATCAAAATGGCAGAAGTTTCTTCCTCATCGATGTGAGTGGTGAAAGCTGTTGCATCAACGAGGGCAATAAGAATGGGACTAATACGTCTGGAGTGGATGATTTGGCAGTGGACTTGGAGCTGAGTTTGAGGGGGAAGAATTACAGTAAGACTTGTAGTAAGTTGAATGAAGATAAAGCTGTAGATGGATTTGAATCAGGTCGTAATGTAAAACAGAAAAGTGTTACCCTTTTCGGAGTACAGATCAACTGATGAATATGGCTTGGGACGTTCAAGTCCAAGAGAGAAGCCGCCATGGCTTACGACAGCTCCGCCATCAAGCTACGTAGCGGTGGCGGCGAAACTCATAGGAACTTCCCGTGGACCGATCTCAACATCCAAGAACTGGACTTTCAACACCTTTATTCGACCGAGGATGTACTGAACATGATCAGGGACGGTTCGTATCAAGCCAAGCTGGAAGAATTCGTCAAGATCTTGTCTAGAAATGATGGGAAATTGACCACTTATCTAAACAAGAAGCTTGTGCATGGTGATACACAGTTCTCATGCATGCAACTTTTTCAAAAGGAATTAACACCGAGCGATGTCGGAAAGCTTAACAGGCTCGTGATCCCTAAAAAATACGCCGTTAAACACTTCCCTCACATTAGTTCGGTCGGCGGTGGTGTCGAAGACATTGAACTTGTCTTCTACGACAAGTTAATGGTGAGATGGAAATTTCGTTACTGTTATTGGAGGAGTAGCCAAAGCTTTGTTTTCACTAGGGGATGGAGCCGTTTCGTGAAGGAGAAGAAACTTGGTGAGAAAGATACCTTGACATTTTACATGTGTGAGTGCCCTGGTGGGAATCAAAATGGCAGAAGTTTCTTCCTCATCGATGTGAGTGGTGAAAGCTGTTGCATCAACGAGGGCAATAAGAATGGGACTAATACGTCTGGAGTGGATGATTTGGCAGTGGACTTGGAGCTGAGTTTGAGGGGGAAGAATTACAGTAAGACTTGTAGTAAGTTGAATGAAGATAAAGCTGTAGATGGATTTGAATCAGGTCGTAATGTAAAACAGAAAAGTGTTACCCTTTTCGGAGTACAGATCAACTGATGAATACATATATATTCATATATATGTCTAACTAGTGAGTTTCAGATTGCTTTTCTACTTTAAGTTGGTTTTTGATGTTTTGAGACAATGATCATGTATATAATCCCAGGAATAAACAAAAACTCCTGGGTTAGGAAATGTCAAATGTTTATCTTAATTTTTAGAATCTCGGTTTCTTAGAGATGCAAAGTTTGGAATTTTGGGTTTTGTTAAGGTAAAAAGATGAAATCTTTAATAGTTATTTTCAGATTAATTTGTATTTTTGACGCTTTTTTTCATATTTTTACTGGTTTAGCTAACCGGGTTCTCTTTATGAATGTGAAATAATTTGGTTATGCTGATGGTTGAGTGAAATCTTCTGTTTTCTTGATTAGTAATTCTACAATAGGAAAGACAGATGAATTATACTCTTAAGACACAATGTGTGCAATTATGCATGCCTTGTTTGCGTTTGCTATATGCAACTCATTCTTTTTTACAGATTCTGCTGTCAAATATCACATGCTGACAATAGAGTTCTCCTTGTAGGCTTTGAACATATTTGAAACCAGCTTGCGACAGGGAAAGTTCGATGAATCACGCATGTAATAGCCGGTTGTATGTTACAATACTGTTGGATACTTGATGAAATGGCTTTTTTTTCTGATGGAAGCTGATGTTTTAGATTACTAGATGGCTCTGTAATGGAGATTACCAAAGTATATCCCCTAGATGCAGTCTTCACAACCCTGATGATGTACCTGAAGATGTAATGGAAAATTTTATGAACACTCCAGGGATTTTACATGCTGGAAAAGTTTAGATATCCTTGTAAACTCTTTCGATCTCGGTTGTTTCATGCAACTAAAAGCAAATAAGCGATATGCAGGATCATTGAACTGTTCCGGTATCTACAAATGTTCCCGCTAGAATTTCATCTTTGGAACTTTTAGAGCCTAAAGTTTTTAGATCACAATTAAATTATTAGTCAATTGCATTCATGATTATGTTACTTCTTTTGTGTTCCTGGAAGTTGCTGAATATGTCAAACAGGATTTTGGAAGCATTGACATTCTTGTGCATTCACTGGCCAATATGGCCCCAAGGTATAGAGGTTCCAAGCTTTCAGTTGCTATTGGTTTCAGCTTTATTTCTCTGTTCATAACTAGCAATTGTTTGTTAACAGGTCTGCAAACCTCTTACGGAGACATCCCGCAAACGATTGCAGCTTTATCCGCTTCAAGTTATTCCTATGTTTTTTTACTCAAGAACTTTCTCCCATTAATGAATCCAGGCACGTCTTTCGTCGGTTCGAGTCTGTACCATTTCATTTGTTTTCTATGTTCCGTTAGCATACTGTCCTGAAAATATAATGAATACTTCTTGTTAGGCGACGGAAGTCTCAAACATCATATGCAGATATGATGGAGGTGTGAGTTCTGCTTAAGCTGCTCTAAAAAGTGACACGAGTGAGTTTTAATCTGTTTTCTACATATCGATGTACTAACTTGATTGCATATTCAGTTTTCCGAATCGGTTCTCCGGGAATTTATGCTTCTCCTAAATAGGTCGTCAATGCCGCGAAAGCAATCGGATTTATTGACACAATGATTGAATACTCAAAGGCCAATGCACCTCTTGTAACAACCCGGAAAAATTTAGAATAATATTAAATTGAAATTGGAGGTTAATTGTGAAAATTGGTAAATTTTTTTGGGACTAAATTGAAATATTTTAAAACTTGGAGCTTGTTTTAGAGTTAAAGGAAATTCAGAGACCAAACCCTAAATTTATCCTAAAAGTGTCGGCAGCTTTGGTGATTTAAGCGTGTTTCTGGTTTCAAATCAGAAACCACAAATGTTAAATTGCTTAAGTTTTTCTCCTCCCGTACCCTTACTTCCAAGCCCGATTCCGACGCCGTTCGACGTCCAATCGTAAAATTGAAACCACCGTTGTGTTCATCATCAAGCGAGGAACAAACCCTTCAAATTAATTGAAGTGAAACGCTGCCAAACGTCGGGTATTTTCAGTCAAAGCATCGTCGTTTTTTCTTAGCTCTATCGCCGGGAAAAACTTAAATTCACCGCCGATCGTTGTTCCGTTTACGACACCTCCTGCATCATCGTGTTCCTTGTGTCGTTGCGAGTCCGCCGGTGTCAACCTTGTTCGCCGTCGATGGCGGCGCGTGAGGAGGTGGAGCAGTCAAAGATTCGGCCGAGTTGAAATACGAGCTCTCCGCCGTTCAAAAATTTGAACCGATCGTTGTAAGTATCTCGAAATCGCTCAAAATAATTTTTAGAAATTTTTCCGGGAATTTTCCGACACCGTGGCACTGTTCACGCGCCGCACGCGCCGCCGCAGGAAGAGTGAGCTGCTGGAAAATCGGTTTGACCAGTTTTGAACCGGTTTGACCGGTTCGAACCGGTTTGACCGGTCTGAACCGGGTTGACCCGACCCGACTGTTGACCCGACCCGACCGTTGACCGTGACCGTTGACCGTGACCGTTGACCGTTGACTTTCTTTGACTAAAACTTAAGATGACTTTGACCGACCCTTAAACGACCATAAATCTTTTCCGAGTATACCTATCCTGATAGTTTTCGACGTGCCAAATCCATTTCCGCAGTCCGTTTCACCAAATTCAAACCCGAAGGTCTCCAAATCGACGGTCAAAGTGGTTGACATTGACTTTGACCAAGAATTTAGATTTTCGAAAAGTCATACTTTATATTTTTCGACGTCCTGATTCCGATTCCGCAATCCGTTTGGCCAAATTCAGACTCGAAATACCCCAAATTGATAGTCAAACTCGGAAAATGCTTAGATACTTAAGAATTTTAGCTTTGAACAATTAAGTAAGATTTGGTGCTGATAAATTATTGTTATTTGAAGGTGCACGAGACTCACCGGATCGTTCAACAGCTCGACCCAGCTCTTCTAGATCAGTTAAACCACGTATGCCAGTATTCACCCGTAAGACCAGTAAATTTTATGATTTTAGAGATTTATTTATGTTACCCATAAGTAATATAGTGTTACTATAAATTAGGTTCGAAAACTGTAGCAGAGCGTGGTGAAACCAGCAATCAGTAGATCTACGATTTGAACCTATTATCGAGGTGTGTTCCCTATTTATTACTGAACTGTTTTATTTGTTTTAATATGTGGTACACTGAATTCTTTGGTTACCGTATTGTTGATGCACCGATTTAATGTGATGATTTATGGATTATGACTGTTATCTGATATTTGTTTTGAAATGGTATATGATTACCATGTTTATGGATTTATGGAATTTATAACACGATGCAATTGAATTTTTGGAATACGAATTTATAAATTACAGCTCTGATCAAGCTGGAAAATTTTACAGACCTAATGTGACTCTTAGGTAGGCTCTGCGGCCCTGAGATCATTCTCGGGTAGGCCCTGCGGCCCTAAGATGTGTTCTTAGGTAGGCCTCACGGCCCCGAAATCTATCTTGGGTAGGCTCTCAGGCCCTAAGATGTTCCCTTAGGGTAACGCTTTTTAAAGAGATTTACTGCAATATAATTTTATGAGACTTTTTGGACTATGATATGTTTAGTGTACCTATAGTGATTTTATGGTAATATTGGGACACACTGAGCCTAGCTCACTTTTCGAAAATGTTTTTTCCCCTTTCAGATACTGTTGGTTAGATACCCTGGATTGAGCACTTGGAGGATCAACATATCTCTTGAAGTATATCTGATTGTAACGTTTTTACCTTGCAAGTTGACTTTATTTTGTTGACATGGACCTTATTTTAAAGTATGAGATTTTAATATGATGACATTTTTACTATTACTATTCGGTTTATCGTGATTTGATTTTTAAGATATGTTTTAAATTAATTTATTACTTATTGGTATTATATTTACAAGTTAGGTTTTGATAGTATGATTTATTATAATTTCATGTCATTTATAATGTGATTTTACATTGTTTGAATAACGGTTTCGGAAAAATGTCTTAAAGAATCATAATGTGATCCACTAGACTTAGTCAAAACGCATAGGCCGGGTCTAGGGGGTTACACCTCTCCAGAAAGAACTGTCTGCAGGTGACTTGGAGGAACTACTAGGATTCCAATTGTTCTGTATGGATACTGAATAAAAGATACTGACAAAACAGACGAGGCATGGAACAC